GGGGGGCTTTGAAAACTGTAGCTGAGAGTTGGTGCAGAAGCATGCAATCCAGAAGAGCTATGAAAATTGCAATCAGGAGGTCAAAAAGTACTAGTAGTAGTCGTGTCTGGCGGACTGTAAGTTCATAATTCGTTTATAGTGGATTTCTGATTGACAACGTGCCCGAAATTTTTATCCAATTGGAGTTTCTCCATGATCGTTTCTTATGTTTGTTTATTACTTTCTTAGCGGTATTTCAATATAGGAAAAAAATTGAACTGTTTGATTAACCATCTAAATATAATTAATAGTGACTTGTTGCTAATTAATTATTAAATTTTTATTCCCCATAATCACCTATTCACATCCTTTCTAGGTTTAGTTTGGATCGAATCTCGTTATTTCATTATTGGTCATAAGAAGCCCGTCCAATTAAAGGATGAAAGATAAAGGTGTTAATTTCTTTGACTTGTAAATTAGAAGACTAGTTGTCTAGTAAAATACTCTATTAATTAATAATCATGCTTGGAAATGACTCTTCTTCTTCTTTTATTTATCTCCACGTGTGTATATATTATTTCCTGCTGGTTCGTAGGTCAGAAATATGGTAAAAATGTTAAAAAATAATTCATACAAGTTACAAAGTTCTGAATTCTTACCTCAGAAAGGCTAACTATCAAAAGTTTTAAGGGTTGCTGCTTATGGGAAAGGATAGCAACAGCAAGTCATTGAAAACTGAGTTAAATTTTTTAATGAATGACATATATAATGCATGGTGCCTACATCATGATTTTTATGTAACTGAAAGAAGTGTGTCTAAATTGATTCTTGGGGATAGGCTACACTCAGGAACGGATTTATGATCGAATTACAAGTCGGACTAATATGTAAAAAAAATAAAAATTACTCATGAATTTTTATTTTTTTTTATATAATTTTTTTTTCTACCTAAAAATATTCAGTGGGCTGGGGCTCCATCCGTCCCTGGTTACACTCAACACCAAAAGTAATCATTAGTAGCTTCGAAGTTAGTTAACGCAGTATTGTTTTCAAGAAATTTAAATCTCGAGCCTACTTTTTTACATTCACCTTGCAATTCATGTGGTTGTTAGAAGAATTATATAATCTTCTAAAGATATTGGAATCATTAAAGTCTTTGGAATCACGTAGATATAATATATATTTTCTTTCACATGGAATGATCTTCAATTATTTTCATTTTTTTAAACAACATATATATGGCATGTGTAATTTATATCTTAATGAGGCCAATTTGATTGAAATTCAACAACCAAATTACCAATAGAATGTTTTAAAAGATCTTTAAATGGAATTAAAAAAAAAAAAAGTTGTTCTTATTTCTTCATAGATAAATAGGAACATTGGTTGACTTAAAAATGTTATATTTTAATTAATTTTTTCTTGCTTTGAATATTGTAGCATTCAAAAAGACACGCTAATTTTCAACAATGATTAGTAAATGATTGGAGTTTGTCCAACTTAACAAGTAATTAGGAGATGAATTATTGTTTCAATCCTCATTGGTTGCAAGTCCTTTAGTTGATCATAGGTGGGTTTTACGATTTAAGTATGGTCATGGGCGGAGCCAGCCCGTCGAAGTAGGGGGGTCCCAAAGTTAAAGGAGTGGGGGGCTCAGGGGGGTTTCGGGGGCAGCGCCCTCGAATTTTTTTTTTAAAAACATTATCTGTTAAAATGAGGGATGTTGGTACTTTGTGATGAAAAAAGGAAACAAATGAACATAAATTAATGTATATTATTAACAAAAAAAATAAGACATGTATAAAAAAGGGTACTAATATTTAATTTAGCAAAATCATACATTATTACAAGCGTTCCTTTCGAGTTCAAGTTTTTGGATTGGTAGGGTTTACATTTTTTATTCATTTGAGGATAAAATGGAAAATACAAAAAATAAAATTTTAAAAT